GAGCCCCAAGAGGGCTCCAAGAGGCGAGGTTGAGGGCTATATCCTCATCCTCGTTGTCCTCCTCATCCTCGTTATCGCCATCGTTATTGCCCTCATCGTCTCCTTCTCCTTCTATTCCTCGTCGTCGTCGTCGTGGTCGTGGTCGTGGTCGTGGTCGTGGTCGTGGTCGTGGTCGTGGTCATGGTCATGGTCGTCGTCGTCGTCGTCGTCGTCGTCGTCGTCGTCGTCGTCGTCGTCGTCGTCTTCCTCCTCCTCCTTCTTCCCTCGCCCTCACGCGGGCCCCAGGGATGGCCCGAAGAGGTCCTCCAAGGCCACCCCCTTGCTCCCAGAGATCTTTCTGTTCACCCTGGTTGCCTGCTTTGTTTCACTACATGTGTCTCTTCGCTCCGTTTCCCGCCATCTCTCATGGGCAGGGTTTCCGATTTGGATGGCGGGGATGCGCGAAGCGTGACAAAGTCTGAATGGCCCACGATCATGTGGCCGAATTGGACGATCTACGGGGGAGGGAGGCCGCAGATCCTCGATGGGGTGCGTCCGAATAGCCCCCCCGGGTGTGTATCCTCTACCCTCGTTCCTTTTCGGAGCGGCCAGTCTTTGTTGAGGGGGGGGGCTCGGGGATTAGGGGCGACACATTGCTCGCCAAACGTTCGTTCTGATTCATTACACCATCCCCTCCTGGTTGCTATCCTGACCTAGAGGCCTCGTGGATGGGGTCCGCGTAGATAGGGTCGGAGGATCGCGCCACATCGCGAAGGCATCGTCAATGTACCGACGATGCATCTGCGATACATCGGCGACGCATCGGAGACGTCGGCGATGCATCGGCACCATCGGCGTGAGGAGACTCTGCCTCCACTTCGGGCCGCGTCATCGATGCATCGGCGATGCGGAACGATCCTCCGACCACACCTACTCGGGAGGCCTGGGTGGAAGGTTTCTCCGAAGGGCTTAGACGACCCGTCCTCCTCCTCCTCCTCCTCCTCCTCCTCCTGATCCTCCTCCTCCTGCTCCTCCTCCTCTTCTCCCTCCTCCTCCTCCTCCTGCTCGATCTCCTCCCCCCCTCCCCTCCAACTCCTCCTCCAACTCCTCCTCCTCCTCCTCCTCCTCCTCCTTCTCCTCCTCCTCCTCCTCCTCCTCCTCCTCCTCCTCCTCGGGTCGCCTACGGCCCCGGGGGAAACCGTGGAAGCCCGAATGATCGGCGTCTGGGGATGCATCCAGCCGTGGCCTCGAGCGCGCCCCAGCAAGGCCCCCTAGAAGGAGGGCCAAGAGGCGCGCCACCGCCGCGCCGCTCATAGGCGGCGTGGGCCTGTCCAGAGATCCCCGTCGGGCTCCTGCGTGGTGAAGGGGCCCAGGGACACACAAATAAATGCACACAAATCCCAGGATTCCACATTTTATTCTTTTTAAACATTTTTGGGATCTTCGCCTTTCCCCCCACTTCCCATATGTTCCCATATTTTCGAAGGTGTCGACGATGAATTGTGTCTGTGTGTTTCTTTCCCTCCTGACGTAGACCCCTTCCTTGAGCAGGACCAAGCGTCCCGTCGCTCCTATAGGCCTGTCATTGGGTCGGGCGTCCCCCGTACAGGCGGCTTTTGTACGAAAAATTGAAGATACCCCGAAAATACTCTACCATTGTCAAAATATCGTCCCCTGATTATTTGTTGTTTGACTGGTTTTGGATGTTTTTCCCAACCATCCTGTGGTGTTGGGTCCTCGTTTTGAAGAGACAGCGCCCCGCGTTCACTCCTCCCGCTGCCCGCGCCCGCATGCGTCACCCACACCCAATTCGGCACACCCCTCACACGTTTCGTGACCCCATAGGGAGCTCCACCGAAGGCCCCAGTGCCCTCGCCCGCATGCGTCACCCACACCCAATCCGGCACACCCCTCACACGTTTCGTGGCTCCATAGGGAGCTCCACCGAAGGCCCCAGTGCCCGCGCCCGCATGCGTCACCCACACCCATTTCGGCACACCCCTCACACGTTTCGTGGCTCCATAGGGAGCTCCACCGAAGGCCCCAGTGCCCGCGCCCGCATGCGTCACCCACACCCATTTCGGCACACCCCTCACACGTTTCGTGGCTCCATAGGGAGCTCCACCGAAGGCCCCAGTGCCCGCGCCCGCATGCGTCACCCACACCCATTTCGGCACACCCCTCACACGCTTCGTGGCTCCATAGGGAGCTCCACCGAAGGCCCCAGTGCCGCGCCCGCATGCGTCACCCACACCCATTTCGGCACACCCCTCACACGTTTCGTGGCTCCATAGGGAGCTCCACCGAAGGCCCCAGTGCCCGCGCCCGCATGCGTCACCACACCCATTTCGGCACACCCCTCACACGTTTCGTGGCTCCATAGGGAGCTCCACCGAAGGCCCCAGTGCCCGCGCCCGCATGCGTCACCCACACCCATTTCGGCACACCCCTCACACGTTTCGTGGCTCCATAGGGAGCTCCACCGAAGGCCCCAGTGCCCGCGCCCGCATGCGTCACCCACACCCATTTCGGCACACCCCTCACACGTTTCGTGGCTCCATAGGGAGCTCCACCGAAGGCCCCAGTGCTGCCGCCTGCGTCACCCACATCCAATTCGGCACACCCCTCACACGTTTCGTGGCCCCATAGGAGCTCCACCGAAGGCCCCAGTGCTGCCGCCTGCATGCGTCACCCACACACAATTTCGGCACACCCCTCACACGTTTCGTGGCCCCATAGGGAGCTCCACCGAAGGCCCCAGTGCCCGCGCCCGCATGCGTCAGCCACACCCATTTCGGCACACCCCTCACACGTTTCGTGGCTCCATAGGGAGCTCCGCCGAAGGCCCCAGTGCCCGCGCCCGCATGCGTCAGCCACACCCATTTCGGCACGCCCCTCACGCGTTCCGTGGCCCCATAGGGAGCTCCGCCGAAGGTCCCAGTGGGTGTGCCCGCATGCGTCCCGCACACCCATTTCGGCACACCCCTCACACGTTTCGTGGCCCCATAGGGAGCTCCACCGAAGGCCCCAGTGGGTGTGCCCGCATGCGTCCCGCACACCCATTTCGGCACACCCCTCGTACGTTTCGTGGCCCCGTAGGGGGCTCCACCGACACCCCTCGTACGTTTCGTGGCCCCGTAGGGGGCTCCACCGAGAAGATATTCACAATTGCAGTATTCACAATTGCATATGGTTGGGTCCTTCGCCAGGATAATCCAATAGAGGGGCACGCTCGACTTAAGCCTACCACGACATGTTCTCAGAACAGAAGAATGTTCCATCAACAACAACAATGTTCTTAGAACGTACGGCCGACGTATCGAAACAAGACGGTCTAAACCACACATACTCTAAAACATTACGTGTCAACCACCATGAAGGTTCTTAGAGCATTTTTTGATTGGATTTTAGGCAGGTCAGGACGCTTCGCCACTACTTGACTTCCCAAGGGTCAGTGTTTCTTCCCGGACGTCCCGGGGCCAGGCAAGGGCCCCCAGAAGGTGAAGATGACGAGACGCCTCTCGTCGTTTGGCGGCGAGACCAGGGGGGAAGTGAGAGGGGGCTGGCCTTCTCAGGCGGCGGGGCTTCTGAGAAATCTTCGGAGCCTCCTCCGAAGACGCCTCAAACCTCCCAGAAAGCGCGAGGGCCTTTGAGAAGCCCCGCCGCTTTCTGAGCAGGCCTGCCCACTCTCAATTCCCCCCCTCCGGGCTATCCGCCGAGTCGTGATTGCTCTGTCACAACGCGATGAGGTCTGGGTTCGGATGTGGAGAATGTCCCCCCATCGGCGCTGGACAAACCTCCCTTTAGTAGACCTCCCCTTAGTGAAAACGGCCTGGGACCGAAACCGATGGACCTGGACCCGCAAAAATGACGGCCGCGACGCCCTCCCGCGAACCAAAAACGACCAATTCACTAATCGACGTGTCAGGGTGGGAGGTCTGTCCAGCCCCGACCCCAGACCCCGCCTTCAGGTGCGTTCTGGCCAGAATGTTCAGGCGAGCCCACCCCAGGGTGGCGAGAAGCCCCGGGGGAGCCACAGAAAAAGCAGTGATCCTCGAAGGCCTTGTTTTGACCACGAGCGGCGAGCGTATCCGTATCTACGCCCTCGCGGTCTGGACTCCAGGGCGCGATCCCGTGGATGTGCGGTCGCATGGACATGCTCCGCGCGGGGTATCCACGGGGCCGCGGGCCAGGAGCTTCGGGACGATCCGGGCAGCCCTCTCGGCGAGGCGCAACTACTGGAAATCATCGCGAGGCTGGAGAGCCGTGAGGAACCGATAGGAACGCCCGAAAGTCTCGAATTTTGAACCTCGAGCCCGGAGTCTCCCCCCCCACAGTCGAATCTAGGTCACAAGAACATCCCTCGACAACATGAGACCCATCGTCGGCCAAAACAGAGAGAGAGAGAGAGAGAACATCCGAGGCTACCCTGCCCAGGATGCACAAGCACATCCAACAGAGAGGAAGAACACCAAGGCAGCCTCCCCGAATCGTCCTCGATCTTATACCTCAATCCGACTGTACGACTGCGCCCACGACTCTTGTCGGGCGTTGGCAGAACTGGGTTTAGTAGGACCTGGTTTAGTGTTGTGTACTGGGAACGCCCCCTCCCCCCCCCCGCCCCGTTCCACTAACCGGATCGGCCGTCACCCGAAAAAACACCAGCTACGGCAGACCTGGTTTAGTGATTCTGGCCAATTTAGGGGCTCCGGGGCCCTACTACTAACCGGTGTACACCAACCTTCGTGACGCCCTGGATCGCCTAGCGTGCTTAAACTCCCTCCGGCCGGTGAGCCGCAGCCCCTGACCCAGACCGAAAGGGAACGAACAAAAACCGCAGCTGGCCGCGCCTGGCCGCCTTCGCGGGCGGGCGAGCGCAAGGCGGAGACGCTGTGCGGGGTCCTGCCGATCTTGACGCAACGGGGATGGGGTTCCGAGGGCCCTCCCGAAGGCCCTCGGGAGGCCCTCCGCGCGGCGCTGCGCGCGCATGCCGCGCCGAGGGCCTGCGCCCGGCGGGGCACCGGCGGCAGCCTGCTCGGAGCGCCGCGGCCTCGTCCTCGAGCGCGTCGGGGGCGCCGCCCCGCTTGCTGTGCACCCTTGCGGGGCGAGCGGAAGGGGGGGATATGGCAAGGGGGGGGTGAGAATCAGCTCACGCAGCTGACTTTCCCAGCGCCTCCCGGCGCCGGGAGGCGCCCCTGCATCGAGGAACGGGCCCGGCGGCGTAGCCCCCCCTTTCCCCATCCCCCCCTTTCGTCCGGCCCGAGCCTCGCGGCGGGCTTGGTGTCCCTGAACGTGAGCCCGTGGTGGTCGCCGTGGTGGTCGGCCTCGGGGCGGGGAGCCGGACCTCCCCGCGTCGGGGGGGAATCAAGACCACGGCGGGCGGTGCCCCAGCTCGGCCTCCAGGGGTCCTCGCCGGGCCTCGGGGGCATCAAAGGAGGGCACGGGGAGAGGGTCGGGACTCCTGGGGATCCCACGCTGCAAGGACAGGACTTCGGGTGTCCTCGGAGCCCCACGTGGCGCACAAAAAACGACGACGCGTACCTGGGCATGCTCGCCTATCTGCGGGGCCGCCCTCGTTCTACGTGAGGTCGCGTAAGGCCGCTCTCTCGAAACACCATGCGAGTTCATGTAGACGAGTGAAGTTCGGAGGGAGCCGTGCCTCCAGCGCGTGCATAGTCACGGCCAGCCCGCGCGCATTTGTCGGGTCAGTGTTGGATCCGCCTCCTCCGGGGCGCGCGCTTGGGGAGGGGGTCTGGCGACGCCCCGAGGAATCCACAGGGACCACACCGATCATTGGTCTAAGCGGTTTGTATGCTCCTCGACTCCAACACGGAGGGCAGAAGGGTGAGCAGCTAGCGGTGTGTCGCCAGTCAGGACATGGGATGTCTGCAGCCAGGACAACCACTTCGAAGGCTGCCGATGCGCAACCTCGAGCCTTGAATATCCTCCTGCGACTCGTCCTGCCCCATCCCCCCCCCGACACCTCCGGGAACTTCCGAGGCTCGTGGAAAACCTGCAGAGCCGTCTGGTCACAACAAGAAAACATTAGACCGCCTCCGTGTAAAAAACTATGGATCCGAATGCTCTCGAGCCCGGGTGGGGGTGGGGCGGGCCAACCGTGTCCCGATCCGCAGCCTCGTGGGGTGCCGAGACATCGGTTCTCAAGGGCGGCTGCAGCACCCTGCTGGGTACTCAGTGGATGCAGAGACGTGGCGCTTCCCTGACACATCTCTGCAACAATCCTCCCGAACAGAAACTCTCCTGCCACCTCCCTGCGCATTCCCGCGCGGCTGCCAGAGCACCCGCTGCTGGGTTATCCGTCACGGTGGCGCTAAGAGAGCGCGGATAAAGATGGGAGGCCTCCCCAAAAATGGGGTCCAAGCATCTGGGGTTGGAGAATGTCGCGCCGTATCGCCGATTCATCGCCGATGCATCGGCGATGCACCTGCAACGTCGGCGATACTTCAGCGACGTAGGCATGGAGCAGAGCGGCGGTGCCCGGACTTGGCAGCGCACAAAGGGGGTATGGGGGAGGGGGGAATGCGTCTTAAGGGGCTGCTTCTTAGAAGGCGCCGTCCCTAAGTTCATAAATCTATAGGGAAGGCCCGCAACTTCTGAGATGCAGGGCTGCTTCTAAGGAGCCTTCGCCCCTCCACCTCCCCCTTCTGCACGTGGCCGAAGATCCTTGTCGCCCCGATGCAGTTGCATACTGCGTCGCTTAGGAGGTAACTTTCGGAAGGTCTTCGTGGCTAAGGAAGCCCGAGCTCAAAGACGATATAGATGGACTGAGCAAGGTTGCACCAAGGATGCAGCCAAACTGTCGGCAAGATTGGGCTGAAATTTGCCACCACGGATGCACCAGCGCCGGTGCTGAATGTCAACCCCCGAGACATGTATCCTAGGCCGCCTTTCCGACCACGGACATGCCTGGTGAAACCAAAAGGTACTCACCAATACCGCTACTCCAAAGACCTCTCCTGGGGTGCGTTCTGACCAGAATTTCGACGCCGATCCAGCTGTGGCGACAAGGACCTCCCTGGAGGCCCCCCAAAAGCGAAAACGAGGCCAGGGCAGCGGTATGGGCACCTGTTCCTCCTTCGAATGCCAGCGCTGGTGCTGAGTCTCAGCCCGCAGGAGCTGCGAGCGGGCTTCGCAACCCGCCGCATGCGGAGATCGCACCGCGTCTGTCGTCGCCCAGGGGTGAGCCGCTGAGCTGGCCAACTGTTGCGCTCCGCCCGCGGCGTCGTACGCTTACATAGGCCTCCCCGATGGGGTCGGCGTATAGAGAAGCGCGCTCCCACTACGCGCAAGGCAACTGCCCGCAAAAGGCCTGGATCCGCCGCGAGGGATTCACGGTCCATTACATCGAGGCGAATATGTTTTTCGTTCGAACGTTTGCGAGTCAGCACTCTGCGAGTAGTGGAACGCGCTCGGTGAGAGTAGATGGGGTCAGAGGATCGCGCCGCATCGCCGATGCGGCGGCGATGCATCAGCGATGTCGGCGACGCAATGGCGCTGCCGGCGTGAAGAAAATTGAAATCCACATCGAGCCGCATCGCCGATGCATCGGCGGTGCACCAGCGACGACGGCGATGCAAAGGCACTTCAGGCGTCGGGAAAACTAGGCTCGGCACCGAGTCGCATCGCCGATGCATCGGCAATGCGGCGCCATCCTCCGACCCATGTGCTCGGATCCCATCCGGGAGGCCTAGAGCTGAGTCTTCGCCCTGCAAACGTTCCGCCCGAACCAGCCTGGTTGCGCCTCGCCCTCGCAGCCGTGCTCAACAAAAAATCGCTTGGCCTCAAATGGGTTCCTCGACAACGACCCGATCCGTAATGCTGCATCGTCAAGGGGACCTTGTCTGTCCCATCGCGGCGGCTATCCGTGTCGAACTCGCGTCGAATCTAGGACGAAGAAGTCGACTCCGCGTAGAATCCGCACAAAATCCACACCGAACCCTCGCCGAATCCGCGCCAACTCCGGGTCGACGCAGGGCACGAGGGAAGCCCGCACGCTGCAGGACAGGCGGCAAGAACCCCTGGGAGCGCAGAGTGAGATCCGTGCCATCGCGACCACTGTCTACCGCGAGGCCGTGCAGAACGCCACGCCGAGACCAGCCCCGAGGAGCCACGGCGGCCATGGGCAGCAAGGCACGGACGGCGGCGGGGCACCGTAATCATCTTCTTCACCTCCTCGTCGTCTCGCCGCCACTCTTCCAGGACCTTCAGGAACCTGAGAGGATAGGAGCGTAACAAAGCATGTGAAGGAACGCACCAGTCGAGTAGGGGATCGACCACATGATTTATTTACACTAAACTTGATTGTCTCGTCGAATGTACGAGAAATACTTGGACTACGAGCATTGTGCGTATGTTTCGTACAGTCGACGAAGATGTTTGGGGTACACCGATTATGTAGTCGATCTCCTACTCGAACCAAGAGGGACGACGGGGCTGTTCTCCCCGCGTCGAGCCTCTGCCCCTCGAAGAGATATCGCGACCAGCGACCTGGATCTGAGCATAGGCCTGGACACCAGAGCACACAGAGCACATCATGAGGCCAAATTGCAGTCAACCCGTATACTGGATGCGCGGTGAGGATGCAAGAGTCTTGGAGGGCCATGTTGGCGTTTTTCGAACAGGGTTGGCGTGCGAACGTTGTCAAGGATGGGCCGAAAGGACAACGATACAAAGGTAGCCGTGGAAAGTCGCTCATCCTTGCTACGCGGGTTGACTGTAATCCAGATGTCAGGGTCTCAGCTGTGGAGCAGAAGTGCGACAACAACCCCACACCGCCAATGGCTCGGGCCAGGCCTGGGCTAGGATTCGATGTCTACACCTTCCTGGCCTAGCACGAAAGGCATCTACATCCATCTTAGGACCCCCATGACTGTGGCCTTGCCAGAATAGCCTCAAGACTGCTCAAGAGGCCTCAAAGACACCCCAAGAGGGCCCCACAACGACCCCCGAGAGGGCCCCAAACGGCAAGAATCGGCAACCCCCTTATTGGAAACATATACTTCGAACATCTTCGCATGTTTGATCTCGACAGCTTCCAAGACGGCTCAAGAGGCCCCCACGATCGCTGAACAAAAACGCCCAAGAAGCCCACGAGAGAGCCCCAAGATGGCCGAAGGAAGGCCCAAGAGAGCCCGAAGAGGGCACCAAAAGAGACCCCAAGAGAAACAACTCGAACTGACATTCCGAGCCCCCCCGCCCCAACAGGACCCCCGAGATGGCCAGCAAGCGCCCCAAGCGGCCGAGGAGGCCCTCGCTAGGCCCAGAAGAGGCCCCAAAAAGGCCCAAGAGAGGCCCCCGAAGAGAACCCCAGAGGCCCTCAAGAAGCCTCACCCATAGACTTCACCCCTCTTCTGCCGACAAAAAGATCAAGAAATATTAGCCGGACGAAGGACCCAACCATATGCAGCTGCAAAAGCCGCATTGTGGGTACCGCTTTCGGTGGAGCTCCCTACGGGCAAACGAAGAGTGCGAGGGGTGCGCCGAAATCGGTGGCGCGGACGCATGTGGACACCGCCACTGGGGCCTTTCTGTGGAGCCCCCATGTGGGGCCACGAAGCGTTGTCCTGGGTGGGGAAGACGCATGCGAACTGCACCATTGGAGCCTTCGGTGGAGCTCCTTATGGGACCACGAAGCGCTGTCATGGGTGGGGGAGACGCATGCGAACTGCGCCACTGGAACCTTCGGTGGAGCCCCCTATGGGCCACGAGAAATTGCCCTGGGTGGGGTTTACGCATGCGAACAGTGCTACTGGGGCCTTCGGTGGGCTCCCTGTGGGGCCACGAAACGCTGCCCTAGGTGGGGGAGACACATGCGAACGGTGCTAAGGGCCTTCGGTGGAGCCCCCTATGGGGCCACGAAGCGCTGTCCTGGTTGGGGGAGACGCATGCGAACGGTGCCACTGGGGCCTTCGGTGGGGCTCCTTATGGGGCGAAGCGCTGTCCTGGGAGGGGGAGACGCATGCGAACGGTGCCACTGTGGCCTTCGGCGGAGCTCCCTATGGGGCCACGAAGCGCTGCCCTGGATGGCGTTGACGCATGCGGCCTGTGCCACTGGAGCCTTCGTCGGAGCTCCCTATGGGACCACGAAACGCTGTCCTGGGTGGCGTTGACGCATGCGGCCTGTGCCACTGGAGCCTTCGGCTGAGCTCCTTATGGGGCCACGAAACGCTGCATTGGATGGCGTTGACGCAAGCGGCCTGTGCCACTCGAGCTTTCAGTGGAGCTCCCTATGGGGCCACGAAGCGGTGTCCTGGGTGGCGCTGACGCATTCGGCCGGCGCCACTGGGGCCTTCGGTGGAGCTCCTTTGGGGGCCACGAAACGCTTTCCTGGGTGGCGTTGACGCACGCGGCTGGTGCAACTGTGGCCTTCGGTGGAGCTCCCTATGGGGCCACGAAGCGGTTTTCTGGGTGGCGTTGACGCATGCGGCCTGTGCCACTGGAGCCTTCGGTGGAGCTCCCCATAAGGCCACAAAGCGCTGTCTTGGATGGCGTTGACGCATGCGGGCGGTGCCACTGGAGCCTTCGCTGGAGCTCCCTATGGGGCCACGAAACGCTGTCCTGGGTGGCGTTGACGCATGCGGCCTGTGCCACTGGAGCCTTCGGTGGAGCTCCCTATGGGGCCACGAAGCGGTTTCCTGGGTGGCGTTGACGCATGCGGCTGGTGCAACTGGGTCCTTCGGTGGAGCTCCCCTATGGGGCCACGAAGCGGTGTCCTGGATGGCGTTGACGCCTGCGGCCTGTGACACTAGAGCCTTCGGTGGAGCTCCTTATGCGGCCACGAAGCGCTGTCCTGGGTAGCGTTGACGCATGCGGCTGGTGCAACTGGGTCCTTCGGTGGAGCTCCCCATGGGGCACCGAAGCGCTGTCTTGGATGGCACTGACGCATGCGGCCTGTGCCACTGGAGCCTTCGGTGGAGCTCCCTATGGGGCCACGAAACACTGTCGCCACGAACTGTCTGAAGGGTGTGCGGGAACTGGTGAGATGATGCTGACTGATGATGACAATGACGATGACCAGGCTAGGCTGATGGGAAGAGGGAGGAGGAGGAGGAGGAGGAGGAGGAGGAGGAGGAAGAGCAGGAGCAGGAGCAGGAGCAGGAGAGGAGGAGATGCGGGGCGCTTTCTTCTCAAAACGAGGACCCAACACCACAGGATGGTTGGGAAAAAACAACATAAACATGGCGCGCGCGCGCCTGGCGCGCTGAGCGCGCCAGGGGCGGCGCGCTAGGCGCCGCCGGGGGGGGGGGGGCAGCGCGGGTCAAATCAATCCGCGCGGAGCGCCAAAAGGTATGGTTATGCAATTGTTTCTTCTTCGATTCTGGGTGTCGGCAGGCTGGCGTGAGCCTTTGAACAAGGCAGACCTCCGCACGGAAAATTCTCGGGCAAGCGCTTGGCCCTCCCGCCCTGTGCGCGCACACGCACAGCGCGCCAGGGGCGGCGCCGGAGGCGCCGACGGGGAGAATCCAGCGCCCTTGCCATCACTCGGACGTCCATTCCCCGTGCATGTGCTGGTTTCGCACGTGTCTTTTCATTGTCAGATGATCTAGGATGCTCCTCGATGGTCCTCGCCGAAGAAAGAATTATCCTGGCGAAGGGTCCAACCATATGCAGTTCTGGATACCGCAATTGTGAAGATCTTCTTCGGTGAAGCCCCCTATGGGGCCACGAAGCGCTGCACTGGGTGGGGGGGGAACGCTGTTCTGGGTGGGTGGTGTGCCAAATTGGGCTTCCGGGGCGCATGCGGACGGTTCCACTGGGGGGTTCGGTGGAGGTCCCTGTGAGGCCACGAAACGCTGTACTGGGTGGGCGAAAATGCCCAATTGGAATTCTGGGACGCATGCGGACGGTAGCACTAGGGTCTTCGGTGGAGCTCTCTTTGGGGCCACGAAACGCTGTCATGGGTGGGTGAAAATGGCAAATAAAGTTTCCGCATGCGGACGGTCCCACTGGGAACTTCGGTGGAGCTCCCTATGGGGCTACGAAACGCTGTTCTGGGTGGGTGAAACTCAGGGAGGAGGGGGAGGAGGGCCACAAAACGCTGTACTGGGTGGGGGGGACGCATGCGGACGGTAGCACTGGGACCTTCGGTGGGGCTCCCTATGGGGCCAACTCAGGGAGGAGGGGGAGGAGGGCCACGAAACGCTGTACTGGGTGGGGGGGGGGACGCATGCAGAGGGTAACACTGGGACCTTCGGTGGGGCTCCCTATGGGGCCACGAATCGCTGCACTGGGTGGGTGAAACGCAGGGAGGGGAGGAGGGCCACGAAACGTTGTACTGGGTGGGGGGGACGCATGCGGACGGTAGCACTGGGATCTTCGGTGGGGCTCCCTATGGGGCCACGAGGTGGGTGAAACGCAAGGAGGAGGGAGGAGGGGAAAAAGGGGGAGGGAGGAGGGAGGAGGGGAGGAGGAGAGGAGAGGAGAGGAACGCAGGGCACCGTCTCTTCAAAACGAGGACCGAACACGACAGGATAAGTGGGAAAAAACACACGTCCGAGCGATGCCAAAGCGCCGACCAACACATCCCCGCGGACCTCAGAAAGTGTGTGCTTGCGCATGTGTTTGTTCTTTGAGGGGAGGGGGAGAAGTTGCAGGGCCGGGATGAGCAAGTCGAACAAAAATCAGAGGATGATTCTCGAATCTGGCACGCTAACGGTCTATTACATGCGACAGACCACGAGATTGATCCAGCCGTGAACTCTCTCTCGTGTTTGTCTCCCTCCCCCTCCCATGAATATATATATATATATATGTACACTTATATGTGCGCAAAAGCCTTTGCCAGCATGGACCCCGAACAATTTGTTCTGGCACACTGCGTGGTGAAACCTATGTGGTGCAAGCTGTGTGATGCAAACTATGTGGTGCAAGCTATGTGGTGCCAACTATGTGGTGCGAACTATGCAGTGTAAACGTTGTTCCCGTCGTTCCGCGAACCCGTGTTCACTGCCCACGGGCCTCCGGCGCTATGCGGTGCAAGCTATGTAGTGCAAGCTACGTGGTGTAAGCCATGCAAAGTGCAACCACGAGGCGGAAACGCGGCGAAACCTCGGCGGACACGCAAATCGCGGTAGGCTGCAACGAGGCGACAGCGATCGGCGACGCGGCGAACCCTCGGCGGATTCCCCGGGTGGGCGGCAACGAAGAGAACCTCGGCGGACTCCCCAAGTGGGCGGCAATGAGGCGGCCGGAGACAACCCATTGCGACCGGAGACAAAGCAAGAAGTCCTAAGTGCCCGCCCTGACCTCACACTCTATCCCCGACAATGTTTTTAACATCCGATTGGAAACATATCCGAAAACAAGATCCACCATAACCCACCAGCCCCCTTGTGGGGCCACAAGGCTGCAAGAGTCAAGCTTGCTGCTACATGCTGCAGTTCCAGTGTCAATTCTCCGATGCACTAGTCCTACTTCTCACCTCCGATTGTAAAATGTCAAAGTCCGCGCCAGGGGGGGAGCCCCAAACCGCCATTTTAGCGCACCCGAATCGCGTTGCCTCAATTCCGGCGGGGCCGTGGGACACGTAAAGATACATGAGATTCGCGCCCTCGAGGCTACGATCGCTTGTAAATGACGCAGTGTTCGCGTCTCTGAGGCCACGATCCATCGTACATGAACGAGATTTGCGTTTCCGAAGCCACGATCTCTCGACTCTTACTCGATGATCGCGCCCCCGAGGCCACGATCCACCGCACATTACACCGTATTCGCGTGTTCGAAGTCACGATTCTTTGTAGATTACAAGAGGCTCGTGTCCCCGAGGCCACGTTCCCTGGTAAATCACTGCAGATTCGCATCCCAGAGGCCACGATCCTCTGAAGTTGTACCCGATTCGTGTGTCCGAGGCCAAGATCCCTGCACGTTACGCCATAGCCGCGCCGTCGAGGCCACGATCCCGCGCAAATCACGTCGCACTCGCGTCCCCGAGGCCACGACCCCAATTGAATTATAAAATAGTTGCGTCCCCGGGCCCAAGATTCACGCAGATTACGCGATATTCGCGTTTCCGAGACCACGAGGTCCCTCGCGACATTCGCCGAGGCCACGACCCCCCCGTAAGTTTACACGAAAGTCGGCGCCCTGTGGCCACGATCCTTCGTGAATTACACCTTACTCGCGTCTCCGAGGCCACGATCCCTGGTGCATCACTCGATGGTCGCAACCTCGAGGCCACAATCATTCGTGCATTATGCCGCCTTCGCGCCGCCAAGGCCGCGATCCTTGGCAAAGTACTTCATATCCGCGTCTCCGAGGCCACGATCCATCGTACATTGCACAGCATTCGCGTCCCCGAGGCCAAGATCCCTTGTAGAGAACTCTCTACTCGCGTCCCCGAGACCACGATCCTTTGTGACTTACAGGATATGCTCGTTTCCGAGGCCACGAGCCCTAGAACAATTGTGCACTGTTCGCGTCGATGCCACGATCTCTAGTGAATTAAGCCGTGCTCGCGTCCCCAAGGCCACGATGCCTCGTACATGACACGAACTTCGCTGCCCCGAAGCCTTTTGCGTTGGCGGAATATTCACAGTAACCCACGGACCGTTCAAGCCGCGCGATTGTGCCCAACGTAGCCTCAAGCACCACCCAGTCGTTCCAAGAGGGCCTCCAATACACAGCACGAGGGGAATCGAGAAACAAAGCATAGCTCAACAGTAGAATCTGGATCTCAACTTGTCTTGAAGATTACTACCAACCGCCATCGCATGAGGTGTCCGTATTGCTTCACGACGGCGCCAAAACATCAAAATACCTCCTGCATGTGTCATTGTGGTGGAGAGGGGGGCGGCTGCAGAGGGCGAAGCCCTCACGGATGTGACAAAGACCACGGTCACCAATATAAGAAATATCAGAACTAATAGTCGAACCAATATCATATACACTAGTGAGCTGGCCTCAACGTGACGTCAAAGTAATATCAAGATGACCTCCAGATGGCTTTATTATGGCCTCAACTTGACATCAGTAACAGCTCGCACCACTGACAGACTACAAGCATATACGTCAAGAGAGAAGCGAGGCGTCGCGGCCGCCACCCGCTCGAACAACTTTGAAGGACCCCTGATGACTCAGGGCCGCCCCGCGCCTGTGAAGCATATTGTCCTCCAATCTATGCCAACGCTTCGACAAATCACACGGCCGCCCCTCGAATGTGAAACCCATATTCCCCTCATCGCGCAAGGCGGCCCACGACTGTGAAACACAGCAAAGACGAAGCATAAAAACAAGGCCTGGGGGGATGCGGACGAACAAAACGGGCCCGAGGAGGAGGACGACAAGATCGACGAAGAAGGGTAGGGGGCGGCAGCAAGTAGCGTTTGCGCCTGCACGGTTTTTAAGTGCTTCTAGCGTGTGTCTCTGCTGCTTAGGTGCGGGTAGCGCCTGTGTAGTGGAAGTACAAGTGCGTGTGCATGCGTCTCCAAGGTTTAAGTGCGCGCCTCGCTATAGTGCGTGCCTCGCTATAGTGTTGTGTCTCTGGAGTTTTTCTGTCTTTGACAGGGCGTATGTGAATACTTCGCGGGCCAAAAAAGCACCTGGGGTGTCACGCGAGAGCGGGCGCCCGCGCGCGCGGCGCACAGGCCGCCCTCAAGTGGTCCAATTCGCTCGGACAAATCCGCCCGGAAATGGCCCGCTTCGCCGGGAAGAGTGGCCCAATTCACCGGGACGTGGATTCTAATGCCTGATAACGCCCCTGAGCGGACGGCCTGAGAGGGCCCCTGGACGGCCTAAGAGGGCTGCTGAACGGCCTGAGTGAGCCCCGATGGAGCCCATGTCCTTGGGAGGGGTGAGAGGGCTCTCCCTCAAATACTGCCTCGCGGTCCAGCTAAAGCTGAGCTTGCCGCAGGCCAATTGGATTATAATTGGATGTGCGAGGTATCAAGACGAGAGATGGGCGACGACGCTCTTCTTTAAAGCTACCGCCAATCGCAAACTAAGCAGATTCATATGTACATCTTTATTCATGGGTATGTATATATATATACATCTACATATATATGTGTATATATATATATGCATACAGTTACACACATCTATACATATATATATATATATGTCTATCCGCGCTTAGGTTCGTTCCGCACCCGCAGTACTCGCATCGCAATCTGTGAATGAGGAGTGCATGGGAGATTCTAGAGCTCCTTCGGGAGTGATAGAGGGACCTGCGGCAAAACAATGTGGCATCTCATCGACGTGTCGGGGAGTCCTGGGGCTTCTTCGACGCTTATTGCACTTCTCTGGATCCACCCGAGGACCTGAGGAATAGCTGGACAACCAAGAACTGTGCCCGAATCTGGTTCCGAAGACCACACCACCAGGGCAAAACCATGAAGCATCGAAAATTACCCTATCTCCTTCTGGCAACACATCTGGGGCCACACCAAGGTGCAGCGAAAGCAAGACAACCCGTCCAGGTCGTACTGACAAGGTCTCAAACTCGATGGTTTTGGCTTCGCGGGGGCATTCTTAGAACTTCTGCGCCACCTCCGGCCGTCCTTGGGCCGTTTTGGAGACTCTTGAGCGCCTGCTGGAGATGCGGTAATATTGGTCCCGTTTTTGTAGCTGTCTTGGGAGCAGCCTGGGCCATCTTGAAGTCCCCCCTTCGGCCCACCCTGAGGGCACGCTCGCGGCCTCAAGCACCGGCAACGGCGCCGACCAGATGCGAGCGGCCTCATCCTCCTCCTCCTCCTCCTCGGCAACGCCTGCTCGCGCGCGTGCCCCGTGAATGGGAGCGCGACCTCTGAGCATGCACGACACTCCCGCCAAAGATTCTCCTCCTCCCCCTGCTCCTCCCTTTGAGCTATGGCCGACCGTCCCAGCATTCCTATAGATCTACGGCGGGGTTTGCTTAGAACAAGAATACTCTATAACTAAAACAACGTTCTTCAAGCATAAACACATGTTTTCGAGCAAGACGATCTCAGGCGGGCTCATCAGAGCATGCATGGCGGAGTCTTTCAGACAGACGCGTTCTAAGAACAATTCGTGCAGGCCACAAAAGAGTTTTAGAACATTGCTTGGAGGGGAAACCAAACTTGCGAGGGTCTGCTTAGCCCGCTCCTGGCGGCGGGGACCTTCATCGTACCGAGGCGGGAACAGGCTGGCCGTTGCCTCCCAGCAAGGAGGGTCCCCATTCTCAGCCCCAGCAGCCCAGGGCCCGACCAGCCTCTTCCTCACCTGGACCGCGTGACAAGCCATAGGGAGGATGCTCATGGAGGACACACGAGCCCCAGGGGCAACGCGTGCGCCGCCCTGACCCGGCTGAAGCCTGAAGCTGGCTGGAAGAACGCAGAAGAGCTGTTGCCGTCGTTCGGACGTCCATTTCCCGTGCATTTGTCGGTTTCGTGCGTGTTTGTTTCGCTCGATGGTCCAGGATGCTCCTCAAAGGGTCCTCGCCGAGAAAACAAGTCACACGTCCGGGCGATGCCAGGTGGAACGAAGGAAGAAAGCAAGGCCTCCCGGAGGAGACCCTGCTCAGCGGGGCCGCGCGCTCCGGGCCTACAGGCAGGTCATGACGCTCCGCCGCTGCTCCCCTCTGCACCTCCATCTCTCTCCTCGAGCCTCGCTCCCCTCCTCCTCCTTCTCCTCCTGCGGCGCCCCGAAGCCCAGACTCGCATAATGACGACGCCCACGAAGTCGACGATGACCCAGAGGCGAGGCGAGGGACCTGAGGCATTCCGAGATGGACTCGGCGCTGTGGACGCAATACTTGATCTTCTTCTTGCCCACCACATGGGCGTCCTTGGCGAGGCACTCCTGCCGCAAGGAGGGAAGGCGTCAGCATCTGCATTCGAGGATGGACAGAACCCCCTTTAGTAAAACGTGGTTTAGTGAAAACGACCTGAGGCCCAAACCTGGCGGGCGCAAGCCTGGAAAATAACGGCCACGGCGCCCTCTCGAGAACCGAAAACGGACAATTCACTAATCGACGTGTCACTGTTTGGGGTTCTGTCCACCCCCGATGCATGGAGCAAGCCTGAACTCATGCTTCGCGCCGCGTGGAGCTCTGTGCCGTGCCGTCTTCGTGCTCTCGCGGTGTCCACTGGGGAACGTGCGCCCTCTGGCCCAGACTGAAGGGGCCCTGGGACACACAAGTGAATACACACCAATCACCGGATTCCGCATATGTTGTACTATCTTCGGGATTTGTTTGTCTTCCCCCCCACTCCCCATGTTTTATTTTCCCATCTTTTCCTGGCAATCGACGATGAATTGTGTCTGTGTGTGTTTTTCCCCTCTGGGGCCCAGGCAGCGGGCCTCGACTGCCTGGGCACCCCGCGGGGTGACCTGGGGGCCCGCACACGGGCAGGCCGCGGATGGGACGAACATCCACAAGAGCGGAAACGAAATGCCTGGACGAGGGGCAGGCTGTTATACGCTTACATGACCAGCCCGGGGATGCATGGTTTCATCCATGTATACACATACATGGATCTACATTCACAGTTATCCTGTATCTAATGTGTATATGTGCACAAGAACATAAATTTACAATGATATGCCTCGACAAAAGATTATCAATCAGTCGGAAGAAGTGGGCAAACACATCAGTCTCCACCCGCCCCCATCAGAGGAAGGACCAGAGAGCCCGCTCGATGTTCGGAGATGGACGGCGCTTGAAGCAGATTGGGATCCGGGGGTCAAGAAATGTCAGATCCCTACATGCTACACCGTGTGCTCTACAACTAAGTTTACCCCCAAGCAATCGGCGCTGCCAGTGCATGCCATCGGCCTGCCTCTGGATCCCGGCAGGACAAGAACAGTGGGGCCGGCGGCATGGAGATAGAAGGCGGAGGAGGTGCGGAGTACACGGGCCAGGCGCGGAGACGGACCCCGAATCCCCGTCGGCTCCAGCTCTTGGGAGCCGAGCACCTTTCTGGCTCCACATCCCTCCTCTCGGGGTGCTGCTGGAATGAAGGGGCCCTGGGACACTCAAATCGAATAACACAAATAACCGGATTCCCCATATTTCCCGTATTTTCTAAGTATTTGTCTTCCCCCACCACTTCCCATAGTTTCCCATATTTTCCTGAGAATCGACGATTCATTGTGTCTGTGTGGTTTTGCCCCTCCTGATAGAAGCGCCCCTGACCCAAGTTGCTCCCAGGACTCGCGTAGACGCACCCAAGGTCTCCCGAGGACCTATCACGAGGCCCAGGGGGCCCCGGGGGCTCCACGATGGAGCGAAAAGCGGGGGGCACCTTGGGCCAGGGGCACCTTTGGCAGCCCCCCCAAGATTGTGGTGTCTCCATCAAGGAGAAGTGGAAGGGGGAGGATCGAGGTGGATGTGTATCGCTGTCCTCGTCCGAGCTCTGCCTGCATCAGAGCTTGAAGCGCATTCGGGAACCGAGGCGCGCTAGACCCCTGGCGTAACACCCAGAATCTGGAACCTGCGCCCACAAACTCAAGCAGCCGAGCCTCGCAACGAAGGTAGATGCCCACCCGCGCTTCCAGGTCGCCAAACCAATTGCGTCAGACGCTAGCCCCGCTCATACGGTAAGTGTGTCATTGAGCGGGCACTATATCTCATACTCGATATAATCCTCAGAGTATGCGTGTCTTCCTCTCTACTGTTCATCCTCGTCATCCTCCCCCTCCTTTTCCTCCTCGTCCTCCTCTCCTGCCCTTCCCCATGTTCCTCCTCCCTCACCGTAGCGGGCGCCGGACTCGAAAAATTCAGCATGCAGGCGGCGCAAGACTGGTGGCTCGAAACGACAAGCGAGGGATCAGGAGAAGAGCCCGAGAAGGGATGAGGGGGGGAGGAGCGCGAAGAGGAAGATGGAAAGGAAGGGAGGACGAGAACGGACCGTCAAGGAGGGAGGAACAGGAGGACGAGAACGAGAAGGGAGGATCGGTATGACCTCCGCAGACCCGACATGGGGCTCGGGGAAGTCGTGAGACCTCCCGAGACCCGCGCAGACTTCTGTATGGGTGGACGCCGAAGATGAGACCGGGGACGAGGCTGGGGAGAAGAGCATGGGGAGGCGGCAGAATACGAGGTGGGTGAAGGCTTCCTTCCTCCTCCCTATCTTTCTCATCACCCTCCTCCTCCTCCTCCTCCTCCTCCTCCTCCTCCTCCTCCTGCAAGCGCCGCGGCGAGTCTATCGCAGACAAACACACACACACACACACGACGCGCCCAGCTGAGACCCCTGGACGGGCACTTCCGCGGATGGCCGACCCGATCCGTTAATTACTCGCTCCTCCTCACCCCTCCCGTCTCCATTCCTCTTCCCCGTTTCGCTCTACCCTCCTCCGCCCCTTCCTGTATCTCGCTCCCCCTCCCTTATAGCGTTTCCTTGTTCAGCGCTCCTACATTCTTTCCCTCATAGATAACTCCTCCTTGTCGCCTCCCGAGGCCGGCCGCAAGGGCGGGCCGGGCGGTTCCCTTGATACTTCCTCAGTGTTGATGGTCCTGACCCTCAACATTTGCAAGAGCTTATCGAATGGAGGGCGGGTGTTTGTCAGAATGCGGCTCTCGCCTTAGCGTCGCGCGCATTCGTCGTAAGAACTTGCGCGAGTTTTGCAGATGAGGGTGGGTGGTTTTGCAAATGTGGCTCTCGCCCCAGCGGCGCGCACAATCGTCTGAAGACGTTGCATGAGCTTCACGGGTGGATGGGGGTCGATTGACAGATGCGGTTCTCGCCTGAGCGCCCCGCGCACTCCTTCTAATCAGTTGCAGGATATTCACGACTGGCGGCCAGTACCTTTATAAAACGTCGCTCTCGCCCTGGCGCCGCGCACATATTTTAACCAAGGAGTCTAGAACAATTTCGAGGGTTCTCACGATTCACGTACTAAAGACGGTGTCATGGCACGATGTCGAATTGCCGGGTCGAAGCAGTTACGTTGATTCGTGGTGTTGAAATCCAAAGAATTATGCTCTGGCGCGATTCAGGACCGTCAAAGCGTAACGGTGATGGTGAGTCGTGGCGTTGAAGTCTCAGAAAGGGCGTTCCAAAACAATCCAGGGCTGTCAAACCGATGTCTTCCGACGGGGCTTTTCCTTGAGTGAAAATGAATCCTTGTAGGGGGGTATGACGAGAAACTTGGAGGGAGGGTTTATTGCACTATCGGTGATGAGTGTCGAGAGTGCACCGGTTTCCTGTCCTCCTCCTCCTGTTCCTCCTCCTCTTCCTCTCCCTCCTCCCGCTCCGTTCCCTTCCGCCAGTCCGTAGCCATTTTGGCTCAAGTCCGTAGCGTGGCCCAGGCGCCAGCAGCGGACGGAGCTTTCAGGCACTGGGGGCGCCTCAGAGGCGCAAGCGGCACCATCAGCTTTCCCCCTGGCAGAACCAGTCAGGGCGATTCGTGTACTCAACTTTCTCGGCGCGCTTTGCCGTGCAGGTGCCCGCCTGCGCGTGCTGTCCTTCGCCACGGCTGGCTCATGGCGCTTCCTGCCAGGCAGGATGCTCGTCCGTTCCAGAGTGGTCACAAGAAGCAGCGGGTTGCATGGGCAAAGCCATGGTATTGTAAGCACTGCTGGTCACATCACAGTCCACGGGCGATCGGTGGTGGAATCGAGCTGACCAAGACAAGTGCCAGTTGTGCAAGGAGCATAAGGGCACCGCCTTCGGCGGCATCAAGGAGGTCGTCGGCCAGGCGCCAAGCAAGAGCGTCCGTGCGGCAAGCGGCGCGGGCGGTCATAAGGTGAGATCAAGAAGCTGCGGGCAGAGCTGGCGAAGCTCAAGAGCCAGCAGCAGGTACCAGGCAACGGCGGGGTTGACACCATGGAGATCGACGAGCTCGGCCTCGGCAAGGGGCCCGACGCGGACGTCAAGAGAGAAATGGCGGACGTGGGCTCCCACCTCGCGGCGCTGGAGAACGCGTCGTGTGCTGAGCTGGTCGAGGCCCGTGAGAAGCTCCGCGCGCGCCAAGGCGAGCTGCGCAAGCGGCTCGTGGCGGGCAAGAGCCTGGACACACGTCTCAAGGAGATCTCCTTCCAGCATCAGAAGCTGGAGAAACGCAAGGCTAAGCAGGAGGAGCACCTCGTCACGCTGCGCGAGAAGGTGCGCGCGGCCGAGGCGGCGGTCGCCGAGGCGTCGCTGGGGCTGGACCGCCTCGTCGCCGAGCTCCTGGAGCTCGAGGAGGAGCGCCGCCAGCTGGTCGCGCAGGTGCCGCGCCCGCAGGATGGCGAGACGCCGTCGCTGTCGCAGGTGCTGCCAGTCGCGTCCGAGGAGATCACGGTGGACAGGCTGGGTGAGCTGCTTGCCGCCTTCGGAGGGTCAGGTGACCTGGCGACGAAGCTACGCGGCTGCTTGGAGGAGGCGCGCGCGGCTGAGGCGGAGCACCGCGCTGAGCAGCGGCGACGTGCTGCCGAGGCGGCGGCGCAGCAGCAGGCAACGAGCCAGAGCCACGGTGGCGCGGCCGCCTCCGCAGCCGCGCCTGGGGCCGCGGCACCAGGCACACCGACCTGGATCCCCAACGCCGACGGGGGCCCTGAGGTGCTGCGGGCCTTCCTCCAGTCGGTCAGCGTGGAGGTGCCTGAGGACGAGGGCGAGCTGCGCGAGGCGGTCAAGAGGACAGGTGAGTCCCTCTCCAGCTTTGCAAAGAAGAAGCGGTGCAGTGCAATCTGGTGTACCTCATCCTAGGCATGATGATGCAGATCGTTACAATGAATTCTTCTTCTCATGGGCCTCTGGCGGAGATGCTGGAGGCCGAGGAGCCGTGTCTGGGGACAGGGCCCATGGTGATTTGCTGCCAAGAACACCACATGCGGCGCGACAAGTTGGGCTCTTTCCAGGCCAGGCTCGTGGCAC